TCCACGATACTTCACTGATATAACAAATAGGGATTGTGTACACGATATGATTGTGCGTTGCACCGTCGATAAGGTGGGATGACACATACAGTGGCCTTGCAATAAAACCGAATCGTAGTATCTGGATTACATTCTTCGTTATAAAAAATGGTAACTTCCCTAAAAGTAGTTCTAGTCGTTGTTAGTATTTATAGGGATAAGATTGATGTCGTGCTTGATGTCAGGATCGCGTGCCACCAATATCGTACCAGTCTGCACCTATCCCATCGTTAAAGTAAGTATTCCGCCATATCATTAACGTAATCACTCTCCGTCACTTTGAGAACTCGACAGAATACTCGATATTTTAAGTAGTCGAAACTTTTCATTTCACTTCCGACGTGATTATTTCCATTCACATTTATATTCGATGCATAACGTAATTTGTTTCGTTCATGATCTCACGCAAATGTAATATACGGTTGATTAATTTTTCAAATGTTCGAAAAATGTGAACTTTAATATCAGGATATCCAATACTATTGCACTATTAACGTTAAGACGTTAATCTTGAGACAAGAAACTGATTAATTAAGACACATATTCTTCGAAAACACATGTTTTAGAATGTAAACTCGACGTTCTGAACCATTGTTGAATGCAGCCTATCTGAATTTAGATTAACATATATCTTGACTTTTCTTCGAAAGACACGAATTGACACAGTTGAACGAGACAAAGATTTTTATTTTGAAATCATTTAAATATAAAAATATCACTGATTGAAATTTCGACGATTTTGAAAGAATTCGATTATATTATTTTGTTTTGTATAAAAGTTTAACGAGAGTATAAAAAAGTTATCTAGATACTTGTGAAACGAATCGATAAAATAGGTTAAAATTGATCGAATACCCTTTATATTGACAAGAAGAAAAAAAAGATCGCGTTTTTTATTAGAAGGCATTGACCGAGTTCACAATATTTTTCTTTGAAAGCAAAGAAGTTTACGTAAGCAACAGAAATGAACTTCGTGTCGAAGTCACTGCGCGAGATGTTTTTCTGCGAATGTGTAATTGACAGGTTAGGTTATCGAGAAATAATCATAGAATAAGAAATCTAGCTTTGGTAAGTGAACGAAGGGCTTTGTAGTCCTAAGATTGATCAAGAATTTTGTTCGTAAATACTGATTATAAGCAACAACGACACGCAATCGTTTTCGAGGTTATCATATGAAAGGAACAGCATCTCGTTATATTATTTTTAACCATTTTGATTTTTTACACTATCACACTTCATAAACACTTTTTATCCACGACCTACCTATAAAAATATATAATAAAATCTAGTCGTAATCGAAATATATTATACGAGTGAATTTTTTATATTCCCGCTTGACAGCGCTAACAGTAATGCAGTGTGACCAACGCAACAATTGATTAAGAATCGATATTGTTGCAAGGTATATCGATGTGTATCGATTTGTATCGATTTTAAACCGTTGGTTGATTCCATTACTAGATTTTAAATTAGTATTGTCGAATGGCTTCCCAGTGTCGTGTGTGAGGTTGATTGTTGAGTTGAAAATATGGAAAAGATGGAATTTCCGCTTTCTAGAAAATGCAGACGGTGCACCATAATGATGTATGTATATAATCCTTTGACTTTGTGTACGGTACAGAGAAAAATTAGCTTTTTGAAATAATCCACGTGTGTTATTGGCTAGTAAGGGTCGTTTCATGTTCACCGCTCATTGTTTTCGTCGTACCACGAGGGACTGCTTTTATGCCAATACTTCAAAGTGCTATAACCTACGTGGGGTATCATACGATGCAAAAGTTACGTGGGTTAAAATCATGGACCATTATCGTCGTCTTCAGGTGTCTTTCCAAGGTAAGCTAATTGCAAATGCCGAATGGCGTCTTCGTATCTAATATTTTATAATGGCGTGCATGAACAAGCTTCTTTATTACGCATGTATATATATATACGAAAAATTTTATTTTTTAAATATACTATATACATAATATATATATTACATTATATTATATTATAATATACATATTATATGCATAATTATATGTATAACATTATATT